GTATCCACACCCTTATAAGGAGTGCTTAGTTCTCCTCACCAACCGATGTGGGACGGGATGTTACAGTTTCCTTTTCTTATACCCATTCAATTCTTGCTTTAAGGGGGTGAAATTGGCTATTAAAGCCAATAACAAGATTTATGGCAATTTCCTTCAAAATATAAAATTTCACCCTTAACTTTTTAAGAGTTGACATAACTACTCCCTTCACTTTCTCTTTGTTTCAACATGGCACAAGAGACATGTACGCCATTTTATTTATTTAGATTTGAGATCACGTGAGACGAGTCTGTTTTCATAAGATTCGTGAGACCATTTTTTACACTTGAAATTTCACAGCAAAAAGCTGTGAAAGTAACCTTTACAATGTTTTTTGCTGTGAAGATTCGGTTTTTTTTTTTTACCTTCACAGCGTTTTACTGTAAAGTTTCAAGTGTAAAAAAGTGATCTCATGGGTCCCACAAAAACATACTGGTCTCACGTGAACCCAACCCTATTTATTTATTATTATTTTTATATGTTTCTTAGAGGACAGGATTTGGCAATTGGTCAAGTTGGGGTGAGTTCGGGTTCGACTCGTTTATTAAACAAGTTGAAAATCTCAATTCAACCTAACTTGTTTAATTGAAAGAGTTGAGATTTTTCAACCAACATAAAATGTCACCTAAACTGGTTGACAACATGTTGACATGTTTATGATTTTCACAACCCAACCTGTTAAATAAATGAGTTGAACCTAGGTCGACCCATTTAATTTTAAATTTTTAAATAAAATAAAAAAGATTAGTTTATTCAATTTTATGACAAATACAAATAAATTGTTCAAAATTTGAATAAAACTCAACCACAAATGTAAATAAAGTATTCAAGTATCATTGGAAACTTTTAATTTTTAAGTAACTCGACTTCCACTTCCACTTTCACCAACTCCAATTTCATTCTCGGTATTACTTTCTTCTTAATCATCTATCTTCTCTGTCATGATTGCTCCATATAATGCCTGAAGATGAATTGATTATTAGCGTTTCACTTTCACAAACGAGAAGGAGAGACATGTTGAAAATAGGTATTATCACTAAATAATGATATATAAATTAAAATAAAATTATATAATATTTTAAATGGGTTGAAAACCGATTAGGAATTTCAATCCAACCTAACCCAACTCATTTAAATAAATGAGTTAGACGGATTGACCCATTTACTTAATTAAGTTGAAAATCTCAACTCAACCTATTAATTTTAAATTGAATTAACAGGTTGAACCATTTTTTAACAGATCTACTCCCTACATAGATTTCTCTAGAATTTGGCTCACGGAAATAACTTTATTCATTCTGTATTTACTTCCTTTTAATCATCTCCTATGTTTAATCGTTTCCTTTTCGATTTTCGATTCCAATAAATAAACTTTGAACATTTATTTCCATAAATTTAGATTGTTACGAAAAAACACCGTTATCAAATTATTTTATTTCAAAATATTTGACGAGTAGAACATGTTAACTTTAAATTTATGCATCATTTAATCGATTCAAGTGGGATGATGAATCTATTTCTTCGTCTCTTTGTTAAGAAATCAGAATCCCCGTCAAAAAATGACCAAATATCTGGTTTGTGATTTAAAACAAGATTGTCGTTCAGATTTATCAACATCATAATCAAAACTATTTATACAACATCGTAAACGGTTACATTACTAGTTTGTTTAATATAAATTTTTTTTTTGCCCCTATTAAGGGGGTGTTTGGGATTGGTTATTTGAAACAACTTATACTTTTCTACAAAAGTATTTATCAACTTATTATAAGTTAGAATGGTTTAACTTTTTCAAAAACTTCTTATTACCGGTTTGACACGATATAAACTGTTTATCTAAACATTTAAAAATACTTATTATTAATGTCACACCAAAATAAATTAATAAATTATTTTTATAAACAATCTCAAACACATTATGGTTATATAGAAACTCAAAATTCTCTCAAGAATAAATCACACCAATCCCAAGTGCAAAAAGTGGCAATCTTTCGAGAGGTCACCGCCCCACGCCAACTAATGGAGACTTGCCTGGAACTTTCCCATCTATGTTAATAAAGTACTCAAAAATCACATTCACACCCCTCTGTCCCCCCACGTCTCTGTATCGTCCCTTTTTATATTTCAATTTTTCATACAGTTTGTCATATGGGTTTTGTTTCTTTCAAGAATTTAGTGGTCAAATGAACAATCCTCCTCATTATTATCAATTTTGATCTGTCTTCTTGTGTTCACATCTGTTTGGGGCATTTTGTCAAACACTATAACTGCATTTCAACTTACCCAGGTTCCCATTTCTGCAACTTGAGAATCCAGATTTTTAGCAGCTAAAATTACTTGTAAAATTGGATGGGATGAACGACAAGAAACCAATGCAGCAGCGGAGGAGAAAGGTAGCGAAGAAGACTGAGGTAGCAGATATGGAGGGGAAACAGGAAATCAAGACGACGTCTTTGTTTTTTCTGGACCAAGAAAAGCCTGGTAAACACGATGATGTCAACTGTCTTGGAAAGCGAAAGTCTCGAACACCCTCTATTGTGCCTGATGTAGCTGTAGCTGATTTAGGGTATGATTTGAATCTAGGCGGCGGAGGAGCGGCGGTGAAAGGTGGTGGTGATGGACCACAAAGGAGGTTGTGGGTGAAAAATAGATCACAAGATTGGTGGGATAAGTACAACAGTGCAGATTTTCCAGAAAATGAGTTCCGAAAGGCCTTCCAAATGGGGAAAGATACATTTGAGTTGATATGCAATGAGCTTACTTCTGCTATTGCCAAAGAGAACACTATGTTAAGAGATGCAGTACCAGTGAGGCAAAGAGTTGCTGTCTGTATATGGAGATTAGCCACCGGTGAGTCTTTAAGACTTGTTTCCAAAAGATTTGGATTGGGCATTTCTACATGCCACAAGCTTGTTCTTGAGGTTTGTTCTGCTATAAAAGATGTATTGATGCCCAAATATCTACAATGGCCGAATGATGATTCCATTAGAGTAATTAGCAATGAATTTGACTCGGTTTCTGGTATACCCAACGTGGTTGGATCAATGTACACAACTCATATACCAATTATTGCTCCAAAAGTTAATGTGTCTGCTTATTTCAACAAATGCCATACGGAAAAGAAGCACAAGACATGTTATTCAGTAACGATTCAAGGGGTTGTTGATCCAAGTGGTGTGTTTACTGATGTATGTATTGGATGGCCTGGTTCAATGCCTGATGATCAGGTTTTGGAGAATTCTGCTCTTTATCAAAGGGCAATGGGAGGGCTTTTGAAAGGTGTATGGATTGTGGGTGGTTGTGGATACCCTTTAATGGATTGGGTGCTTGTGCCCTACAAACAGCCACATTTAACATGGACTCAACATGCTTTTAATGAGAAGATTGGAGAGATTCAGAAGGTCTCTAAGGATGCATTTGCAAGATTGAAAGGGAGGTGGTCTTGTTTACAGAAAAGAACAGAGATGAAACTTCAAGATTTGCCTGTGGTTCTTGGGGCATGCTGTGTTTTGCATAATATATGTGAAATTAGAAGCGAAAAGATCGAATCCCAGTTGATGATTGAGGTTGTGGATGATGAGATGGTTCCTGAAAATGGGTTGAGGTCTCCAATGGCAATGAAGGCAAGAGACTCAATGGCACACAATCTTTTGCACCATAATCATGCTGGAACTTCCTTTTTGTCATGAGGAGTTGCATATACCATGGTCGGTTAGTTTTTTTACTTGCATATTTCAACTGTTGCCGGTCAGATCACATAAAAAGATTTCTCACACAAAGTTTGTACTTTTTGCAACCATGGGTTATTACAACAAAATCCGGTTTATAGGATGCAAAAAAGAATTTCTCAATGTCAATGAATTACGTTATAGGACATATTTATAGGACCATACATTTGTGCGATGTCAATGAATTACCTTATAGGACATATTTATAGGACCATACATTTGTGTGTACTGTGTAAAAGTGTTGCAATAAGTTTATATATGACGTTCTTTTAGCATTTTAAGTAAGTTTCATAGGACAATTTTGAAGTCAAGGGTTCTATAATTTTATTCTATCTATCATTATTTAAAAAATATTATAAAAACAAGTGTTTTATAAAACATGTATTTAGCGAACACTTTTCAAAAATGTCTTATAAAAAGCAAATAGGACACTTTAAAAATGTCACATAAATCTTGTTAAGACGTCCAAAAACGCCATATTATGACACTTTTACATAGGATGCACAAGTTTATTGTCCTGTAAACTTAAGTCTTTGTAAAACAGTCTATCAGGACACTTCACATATTTTTGGCATCTTATACATCTGATTTTGTTGTAAGGTAAACCATATACTCTTGCCGTTATGGCTTCACCATTTTGCTACAAATGTATGGATCTTTGGTATTTAGCTGGTTTGAGTTTATAGGCAGATTGCATACACAAGTTGTAACTTGGTTCTTGTATTTGATAAAATCAACAATGGATGAATCAATACCGATAATTGCTTTTGTATTCATTGGCTTCACCCCATTACTTTTGGTTCCCATAGGATTGATCCAAGATTCTTCATGTTTGTCAAAGCTAAATCTTGAACCCAAGTTGAATTGAGGCCAACAACCATGTTCATGATTTTGCCACCTCAGTTTCTCTTTTCCTTATATTTTATAAACCATATGAGAATGGGGTTCACCAAAAGTATAGTAGTGGTGGAACCTGTGCACAGTAGTTAACATGACAATGTACCGGTCCAAGACTCATCCATTAGAGATGCCACAAGATTCTTGAGTAATAGGAAAGATTACATTTTTCTGGACCAAAAAGGAAAAGCGCATGTATTCAATGCTAGAGAAATCTCACATACGAAGACTCATGTGCTGTTTTCAATGTTTACCAACTGATAGTGATTGGATTGGAACCTCACCATGTCTTGATTCCCATATTTTTATTTGGTTATGTGATTTTATTGCATACAGTCCAAGTCAAGTACAAATGAGAATTGTGTTATGTGCGAATACATCTTAACTCACTTCGTTTCTATGGGTCAACTCGACAACTTCTTACAAGACATACAATCTTAAGATTAGTTTTCACTAGTATCTGAACCAAACAGAAAATACCTTAAAGTGTTGGCAACTATCATACCAATCAAGTCTATGGACCGGTACATTTTAAAATCATTTAGAAACCAAGAGTTAATACTTATATCAATCGCGTAATTGCGTTCTCTACACAGAACTTCGATGATGAACGAACAGAGTAGGTGTGATGGGGTATTCTTTAACCAAAGTTGTTAGTAGTCTACCATGAATGACCCGTCTCTAACATATGGGGATTAGAAATTGTTTCGTACTTCAGATACCCTTGTGTATACTATTTATCTTCAAACCTCCTTAACTAATATGATCCATTTTATGTATTAGCAATAGAACACTTTTATCATGATATAGTCATGACCGGACCATGATGGTTGTTGTAAATCCTTAGGGACTTTTTAATGTCATCTGCTATACATACCCATCGATAAAGTTTCATAACCATATCCCTTGATTTGAAGCAATGAACTCTGTGGGTTGTGGTCATGGTGGAATGAGCTATAGGAGATTGGTTAGCAAACTTCCATGAGATACGAGGTTTAAAGTTTCATAACTGTTTGTTTTTGGAAAAAGACCACTTATTAACCTCTTATCTCTTACAGGTTATGGGGTTTCAGACTAGTGTTTTTATATTGAGATAAGAGGTAAAAACCTCTTATCGTGCTCTGGTTGAACTTATTCTCAATTTCTCTCTCGCGTAGGCGTCCACATGTTTCTCGATCTCAACCTCACGATTCTCGTTCCTCTCAATTCCTCTTCTCTTATTAGTGGATCACGAGTCTGTTGAAAAATATAAAATAATAAGAAAATGAACACCAAATAAAGATTTAATCTTTATATAATTTAATTATATTATAACAATAAACCGGTTAAACCTTTTGAATTCAGACCCACCAAAACCTCAATACGTGCCGATTCACACAGATTGAATCTTCATTCGCGATAGATTCAATGAAAGAAAGGGGTAGAAGCCGAGTGTTCACTTTGTGAACGGAAAATTTAAATACAATGCAAAAAATTATAAAACCAACCTGGTAAAAATGATGTCGATTCGGATGAAGAACTGCACGGAAGAATCCTGTCCTTGAAGGTTTTATACGACCACTTTTTAGAAGTTGTGAGTCTGCTAGTCGCAAAGCTCCAGGATTTGATGCAGTAGGTTATTCGTTTGTGAACAGCTATCACAAAGAATATAGAACAGGTTTTTTTTAGCAAAACCGGTAGAGAGAAATAGGAGACGGGAGCAGAATTTCGTCAGAGGAAAAGTAGTTTTCGTATGTGTTAATTGATACGGCTTCACCCAGTATTTATACTGGGTGAAACCCTAGATCGAGCCCAAGAGAGTGGCCCACGAACCTCTCCAAAAACGGGGGATAGAGGGAGAAATTTACTCAACCGATTTTTATCAAAAACCAAGTCAAAATCGGAATAAATTCAAATTAAAAATAATAATTATCTAAACTTAACTGATAATTATCCTCTGACGAATTTCTATTAAAGAGATACTCGGAGCTCGGGGCGAGGCTCCTCCTGCTCCGACGCGAAGTGCGCCTCCTCGCGCCACCTTCGCGAATCCCGCACCCGCATCCTCGGCCACGGCCATGCGCGCGAGTGTGTGTTGGGCCTTCCACTCAAGACCCCCACCATGAGTCCACTAACAAGTTCAAAGCCCACTTCTAGAGAAAGCCTTATAAGCTTCTCTATAAATAAATTATCTACCAATGTGGGATGGAAGGTTAACTTCCAACCTACAAATTTCCAACAGAGTCTTGTTTCTTGGATCGGTTCAATCTGCTCTCCACCGGTCTTGATTCTGGTGGTAAACCCCTGTTCGTGGTTGGATTTGTTTGATGTTCAATCTCCGGAGTTCGATGATTTGGGCTTGATTGGTTTTTCATTGAATGATCCAAAAGTATGCCTTAGACATGCGAATGGTTTTAATACTCGATGTTCAATCTCTATGTCAAAAAGATGAAGCAAGTCGTTTGTTCAATTCACCGATTTGAGCTGCAAGTGTTCCATTTTGATGGTCAAGTTATTGTTTAACATAGGATACCAAAGAGCAAGAATCTTTATGATTTCAAGGACCGAGAATATTACCCGATTAGTGCTCAACAGACATATGGTGCCATTTTGATGACTAGAGGGATCTTCAGTCGTGGCTTAATGGACTACATAGCCAATATGGCTTATTCGGTAAACCATAAAGGAGTGTTCGCTTGTGGCTTAATACTACAACCAGGTGCTTATTCACATAGTCAAGGTAGACATGTCCTTAACACTCAGTCATAGTTATTCCCGGAATGCCCCTTATCATACTAAATAGGCCCATACGCCTCCATAAGGAAAACCTACCAGATTGATCACATCCTCCTCCCCCTGTCGTCGGTCATCGCCTCCTCCCCCATCGTAGGTCAACTAGCTCATCTCTCCCATCGTTGGTCATCTCCTCCCCCTGTTTTATGTCATCTCCTCCTCCCCCTGTCACCAGTTATCACCTCTTCCGTATCGCCGGTCATCGCCTTCCTCCCCCATGTTATAGTATAGATCTCTTCATCTTTTTCACTCATGAAGGACCATCACCCATATCCTTGCTTTTCTATCAATCTCTAATTCCAATCTTCCTCCCCAATATGATATTATGGTGCCGGTAGATATTGGTGGGAAGACATCTCCAAAGCAAAAGTTGCATAAAACCTATAAGATCTTTTGATTCACATGTATTTAGGGTTGCACTGATTTAAGTTCTTTTGAATTAGGGTTTCATTTGATTCAACATTTTGGTTTTATTTGATCTACTTGTTGTTCTTGTTATGGGTACCTGATGTAATAAAATTGATCCATAAAAATTTACAATTAAAAAGATATTTGTTCAACATTTTTATCAAACTGTTGTTTTATTCAAACAAAGATAAAGGCTGGGAATAAAATGGTCATTTATAACATTCAGACTGTTTATTCAGCACAACAACCAAATAACAACTTATCTGTTAACATACAAACAACTATATTCATACATGTTTTAATAAAAAACGAACAGAACATCTCCTAAACAAACATGATTTTTTTTTCAATAAAAAATAATATTTTTTTTTTCAATAAAAAATAATAAACTAGTTATGATTACCTAACATTGCCTAAGTTATAAGATATGCATAAACGTTATAAAACCTTGTAACAATAAAATGTTACCACAATTCATAAAATGTCGTCACATTTTTCTGCAACTTCGGTAAATACTATTTAAACCACATAAAACCTCTTTCAAGTCCATAATAATACTCATTTTTAAACATAATTTGTACTCAATTTTAATCTCAAACCCATACACGAATCACATTTGATATCTGCATTGCTCCAGTGCATCTCATCTTGGTGCATTTAATTATAATGTGCATCAAATAGTGTAGATCTTTTTTTAGGCTTCTCACCGCACCTTCTGTTCTCATTGGAACCCAACCCTATATATATGAATAACGGGAACTTAGTGTAAATAACGAAGATGGAGTTCATGAACTATTCATGATGAATGATACAACATTCATAGTATATAATACACGATCACGAACAATGTTAAATTGATTCACTATTCATGATGAATAATACACATTAATTTAGAATGAGACATTATTCAAGATGAATACCCATGAAAGTATGAGACACGTGTCGCATTCTCATTTGTCTCTCGGTTCACAAACGAAAATTTGTTTTTATTTGAACCTGCAACTCAATTATGGTAGTTTGAAAAAAATTCAGCACAACCTAGCCCGTTAAAAAGAATAACTCAACCTAGCCTTCGCGAGTTGGGTTGGCGAATTAATATGATGTAAAATTTTGGTTCATATTTGTCTTTGATTTTAGGTGAGTTATGAGTATTGTCTATTGTTCAATTCACTCTTAGGGGTTGTTTGTTTACCTCTTAATAGTTCCATAAAGAGGCAACATCTGAATCGTTAAGAGGCGAATCTTATTTGGCAAAAAAAATAGTTTGCCTCTTAATGGTTTTAATACCCTCCGAATGATTTTGTATCATGAGTCTCCCTTAACCATTAAGCGCCCTATTTTCATTGTAAACAATTACCAAAGAATTATATTTCATTTTGCACTATATCATGAGAGCCTATTAATTATTCTGACCACTTAATCATTCTGCACCAAATCATTCAACAACTGCCAAACAGCCCCTTAAACATATAGCAAAACATTTAACAATAGGTAGTTCCAAGACAACATGTTCTTTAAATTCATTATCCACATAATTATTGACTCGATTCTTATAAGAGGTGTAACAAAAGTATAAAACAAATGTTAGCAAGTCAAAATCTATATGGAGCTGGATTATGCAATATGCTGGTTTTTTGGTTAACAATGGCTGTCCGGTTCAGCTTGTACGCATCTCGACT